CTCTCGATCCATTCTCAGCCCAGCCTGTATTTGTGCTTGGGATTGCTCTGACCCATGTGCAGGACCTTGCTCTTGGCCTTGTTGAACTTCATGAGGTTTGCACCAGCCCATCTTTGCTGGAAGGCTTAACACCTAACTGGTTTGTTTCCTCTGTACCATACACTGCAGCTGGGCTTGTCATCCTGAAAAGATTCCCTGTGCCCTTGTCCCGCTTTTCTATCTGCAGTCCTGTGTCCCCCTTCCCTTCATCTATCTGTTTTTTCTGCATATTATAGGTTTTCCATCAGAGGTTTATGCTTGATTCCCTTGTTCCGTTCAGTAAGGGCAGAAGTCCAGGAGGGTCTCTGTGCCTGGCAGCAGGCAGCATTGCTCGCAGCACGCCGGGGGTACTGCCTCTCCTGGCGCTTTCCTTTCCCCAGTCCCACGCTTTGGTTGCTTTCATGGTGTCTTCTGCTTGGTGTCTGGTCATGCAGATTTGAGCTTACCCTGGCAAACGCAGATTGCTCTTCTCTGTGCCAAAATGCTCCCTGCCACCCCCGACTCTCTTCTATGCTATCAGGTGGGGGGCTGGTAGGAGCAGGGGGATGTGATGGGGAAATGATGCCAGGCACTGGTTCAGTTTCTAATGTGCAACCATGCAGGGTGGCGTTGGGCACATGGAGGGGTAGGAAAAGTTTGTTTTGTTTGTTTAGGATTTTTTTGGTGTTTTGTTTTGGTTTTTTGTGGCACAACATTTCCCAGATGCTTTGTCCCAGGATCCTTGGGGGTGCCATGCTGTCAGCACACCGGGTCACACCAAGTTGTGCCATGGGCCTGCCAAGCTCCTCGGCTTCCAGAATGTGTCACAAGGTGCCTCCAGGCAAGCCTGTCTTGCCCTCGTGCCTGTTGCCATCTCTTTGGGATTGAGAACTGTAAATTCAGACATAATTATCTGCTTTTTTACCTAAATAGCATCTGTTACCTGAAAGGGATTGAATGGATTTAGTTTGGTAGGCTGGTAAAATACAGTTCTTGACATGCTAGATGAGATACACTTTTAATAACCAGATTTCTGGAGTTGGATTGGTTTCAAGAAGATTACTCAGACCGGATCTGCTTGACTATAAAGAGTTGTGATGTGATCTTGGATTTGTGCGTGCCAGTCAGTTTTGTGTTACGGAGCAGGCTGCTGATGGGATGATTTCTGACTTTGATAAGTGCTTCCATCCCCTCTGTAGAGGGTTTTATTGAAGTGTTCAGTACATTGTTTATATGAACTGCTCGTAAAGAATAAATAAATTCAGCACAGTAAAGTTTAATATGGGGGAGGGGAAAGTATTTAAACTGTATTAGCAATATTTGTTTAACAAGAAATGGATCAGATGTGACATTTATCTGTACTGGATAGCATTTGCTTTAAACAAAACAAAGCCTTGAAATGGATCTGTTTTCTTATGTATCAGAATTTTTTCTTGCCAAAAAGCTAGAGGCTTGGGGTGGGGTGGTCCTCAGGTCACAGCTGTGCTTGTGTCACTGATGGTGTAACCATATTGCTAAAGGACTACTGTGTTGTCATCTCCTCTGACTATGAGTAAGAGAGTGGAGTCTTCTCTCCGCAGACTGGATACATTGGTAGTCAAATTCCACTGGGTATAGGCAAAAGGGACGTTTGGACTTTTTAAAATGCTCTTGCAGTTCACTGCATGTGGTTGTGTCTTTTCCCTCCTAGGCTGCTGTGTCTTGCTGTGGGATGCTGATGAAAAGTTTTGGTTTTATTCCAAAACTAAATGGATTTTAAACGTATAGGAAGTACTTGCACTGAAGTAGTAAATTATAAAGGTTATTTTTGAATCTCCCAGGGACTGATCTTTTGCTGATGCTCTAATGTGGATTTCATCTGGGAATCCCTTTGTAGGGGCTGTAGACGGATGCATTGTCCAGAGGATTGCTTCTCATTCTGGCGAACCTTTCTTTCAGAGGCTTTGAACTTTTAGAATAACTCTTTTTCACAAGTTAACATCCTGTCATTTTGGGGTTTGTACTCAATGTGTGTCTTTGGCAAAATTTGGCCAAACACAAGTCATCTGGAAATGTGATGCTGGTTTATGCAGTTGTGTGTTAGTTGTAATGCTGATGTAAAGAGATAATGAGGGCTGAGGGCTGAGGTGCTGAAGACTTTGTTACATTCACCGTGTTGCAACCTGAATAGCCTGTAAACTCTCTTCATTTTGCTCATCACCTGTTGCTGGATTACAAATTACAATGAGTTACAGTCCCTTCTTTCTTGATATGTCTTTTTATATTCACATCCAATATATAAGCCTTTCTTAGATTTATTGAATTTGAGTCTGTGTTTCATTTCCATCATGAAAATGAAAAGATCTCATAGGCCCAGGCTTGGCTGCTGAGTACTCAGTATTATGAACAGCAGTGTCTGTTTAGTTAAGACCTGAAGATGAAGAGCTGTGCGGAAGTGTTAAGCATTATTATTGCAAATTGTCAGTGCATACTTTCTTCTCCAAGGCATGTTTAATTGTATGGAGTCACAGTTGTTTTCTCCAAGACATTCGGCCTGAGTTGTGGAAGTGACTGTATTCTTGCTAACAAACTAAACCAAAACCCAGATGCTGTTAATTTTTAGCTTTAACAGCAACAGAAATTGTGCTTGGACTAAATACATAGCACCTAAAATTTGCAAACTGATTCTTGTGAAATAGTTAATCTATAGCTAATGTGTGACTGTTGCACTGATAACAAAATATATGTTGAAAACAATTTGGAAGTTCTTGATTCTTATGTTCAATTAACGTGTAGCTAAGCGGGTTAGTGATGACAGGGAGTTCATTGAAATAGAGAGCACTTTGAAGGTCACAGAGGAGTTAAGTATCTATTGTACCTCTGTAGTGACAGTCTTGGCCTGCTACAGGTTTGGGCTACCAGTTATACACCCTTTAGTTTTCTTCTATAGGTGGAAAGGATGCCATTAAGTCTGGTAAACTAAGCAAAAGAAAATGATGGAACTTGAATCCTTGAATAAGGAAAACTATGGTTTTGTATTAAGATAATTTCCCAATGTTATTAGGGGCTTTACTTAAATTTTGCTCTGAATGATTTCATGTTCAGCAAATAGGAAAATACAATGCTAATTACAGCTCTCATCCTGTCTTTGGCAATTAAGGTGTTTTGTTTGCTCAAGAAATTTTAAAACTTCCTGCCAGTTTCTTACTGTTATGTTGCTCCTTGCATTTCTTTCAAACATAAGGTCTGTATGAGTAGCACCATTTAAATGGACAAAGGATGAATGATGTGCAGTTTTGAGCTGTTGTTATAGTCACAGCACTTAAGAATATCTTCTTTTGATCATTTTCAGTATAAGAGCTACCAAATGAACCTAGTGGTTCTGGCACATGAAATGTGGATGATATAATGTTCCCTGAACCTTTATTCACTGAATTGCTGAAGTCATGCTTTTCAAGAACTTTGTGAATTTAAAGCATTTTAAAGAAATATTCTGGGTTCACAGCAGTGGAGAGATAATGCCTCTTCTCAAAAAATACATTGGCTGCTGTTAGAGGTCAGCATTTGCCAACAGTTTCCGCAGGAGATGCCAGTTTGGAGTGGAAACTAAAAAATAGGTTCAGCAAAGCACTTTATCCTGTTCTTGGCTTAAGCACATGAATAATCCCATTGACTACCCATGTGTGCTTTACTGGGACTGCTCACATAGTGAAAGTTAGGCATGTGTTTAAATAACTTGCTTATTTGGGGGCTCACTGCGTGATGCCTCCTGGTAGAGACTTGATTTTCTTATGGCAGCCATCATATGACCTGTGCGCAGGGAGCGCAGTGTTGTCTGCACTAGCCATGCAGTCCAAAGCAAAAGGCTATTTCTGTGTCCACCCCCAATCCGTCCTGTACTTCTCTGGCAACTAATTATCTGTTTGCTGCCAATTGTGCTGTAGCGTTTTTGGCATTCAACCACTCCAACTTGCTGCTCTTACAAGTATTGAATTGCCTTTGTAAGGCAGACTGTGTATGTGGTTGTTACAACATGAAAAAAAAATAGATCCTTGTCATAGTTTTCCTCATTTTGATCAAATTGTACTCTCTCTGTCAGTAATCCTACTGAAGGTGATACAGATGTTAGCAGAGGAGAAGAACCATTTTGGAGGTCCAAGCTCAGTACTCAGAGGGGCTAAATGGAGGTTTTTGGCCTGTTGAATATCTGATGGAAGCACTGTTCTTTATTTGGGAACCTCTGTAAACAGATCATCTATGGAAACGGAGCTCTTTCAGCCCACGGGGAGGGAGAAGTTAAATGCTAGGATAAGATCATCTTCAACCTGATATTTCACAACCGTTATCTCTGGTTTGATCCAAAATTGGCCCACCAGCAAAATAGTACAATTTCAGGTTTAAAATACATTTAGTTAAGTTTTCCACCTCTGCCTTCCTCTTCCATCCCCTGGACACACGAGGCAACAGATGGCCTTGGAGACCACATTTCCCTTTGCTTGAAAAGGGACTGTTCACAGGCAGGGAATTGCTGCGACCTGTGCGTGACAGCACCCTCTCCATTCTGCATATTTTCTTCTCCAGAAATACAACCTCTGCAGCAAGTTAGCAGACCTAGAGCCTAAACATAAAAGCAAGTCAAGCTAATAGAGAGAATGACAGTTGTAGTAGATAGCAATTAGTTAGTGGGACCAGCAAGCCCAGCGCTGTGGTTGGTAATCGGCGATGCTCCTTCAAACTCAGGATCTCAGACTCTGAGCTTGCTTTACACTCGTCATGGCTGATTATCTGTTGTTTAGTCTTTGCTAACAACTTCACCAGAGAAGGCTAGGAAACTCCAAACAAAAGGCTGTTAATCGCAACTGAAAGGTAAAATGAAATAGGTTTTCTCAGTAAGTTTTGTAATCCTTGCTGCAAAGAGCTCTGTTATCCTCAGAAACATGTGTCAAAGAATATTCTTTAATGTGTAATCATCTTAAATGGAGTACTCTTTTGCTGGAGCTGTGTTCGGGAGAGTGAATGGGATAATGTGTAATATGAGCCAGATGAACAATAATATGAGTAGATTTCTTCACTGGGATGGAAACTTGAATGCTTGCACAAACAACATGGAGGCCCTAAAGTATTGCTGTAACAGGCTGTAACTTCACGTGTGAGGTAGGAAAACAAGTACTATTTTCACAGACTGTTAGTGTTTATGCCTTGAATACGCTTATGAGAGTGTTTAAGGTGCTGTAGATCCAGTATCATAATTATTAGACCGAAACACTGATGAACTAAGGATTAAACTGTTTTAGAAGTGTATTAACAGACTTTCAGTTAGCTAATGGTAAAGTATTTATGAATTAGGTAGGAAGTTTATTTCTAAGAAATTCTCATGCCTTTTCAATAGAATACTCGAATCCACAAAAATCTATATGAAAACAGCATAGTATCTAAATAGTTGATTCATCCCCTGTGTATAAATAACATGTTTAATAGGCACTCTCCTCACCTATAGCACAGGACTGAAAAGCAAGGACCTGAGTTGATTTTCTAGCTCTTATAGAGACTTCTTGTATGATTCTGGGAAATCACTTAGCATCTCTCTGCAAGCCAGACCCTGTAAAGTTTGTCTGCCTTGCAGAGGTGAAGGGGAGGCTGAGGAAAGGCGTGACTGCAAAACAAGTTAAGAATCTCCCATCAAAAGTTGGAACAAATGGGTTTTGATTTCTGGTTTTGATGAAAGTAATCTGAAGTCATTGCACATATGTCTAATAACTGCTGATTTATAAGAGTCAAGTTATGAAGCTTTAATAAATGTGTATTTCTTTAGACAGTGCTGCAGTATCTTACTAGCTGGGAATACTATGTTGATTTGCTTCATATCTGCATATTTTCCCCCTTAGATATGTAGTAGCAAGCGAAAATGTTCTGTTTCTCAAAGGTCAGTTCAAAGAAACATCTAAATGTTGAAAAATTTCTCTGACTTCCCTGATTCCACAAAATTGATTTGGACATCTTTCAAGGATTGGCTTTCTTCACTTTAAGCAATTGCTGAGAAACTTCATTTGACGACATTACTGTTCACTTGGATAGTTCTTCACCCACGCCTGGGGAGTTATTTCTTGTCTGTTATAGCAAGTGACAAGTTTTGAGTGACATCTATTTGTTAGTACCAGCAGTGGCATTTACATTGGAAACTAGAGGAACTGTTGCTTACAAAGGAAGATAATTTAAAATTCACATGCTAAAGGCAAACTGATGAGGCATTCAGCTCAGTGGGAACGGTAACATCTACAAAGGTCAATAGGATGAGATTTAAATACAGAGGAAAGAAAACAAGAAAGGATGAATCCATAGTTCTTTGAATGGTCTTTAATCCCCTGTTCTTCCCTCCACGTGGTCATTAGTAGAGGAGCTGGGTCTGTGAACAGTTGTATAATATGCCTGGCCATGATCAGAGGTTGAATTTAGACCCTTTTGGGGACATACATGGATTCTAATGAATCCTCTCATTTTGTGTGTGTGTATCTTTTTTAATTAAAAAGAGTCTCCACGTTACTAATAGTAATAATGAATGTTCACTGTCTTAAATTATAAAACTTGTTAACTCTCCCCATGGAAACTTCCAAGTCACTGAACAGCAAGTGAAACAGGCAGACACGTCCAACTATTAACTCTCATTTTTCTACAGTAGAACTGGAGATAATTGCTTTTCTTTCTCTGTTTAGCACTTTCAGACAATGTTAAAGACTAAGTTGAATGTCCTAACTCTTCGGAAGGAGCCTCTCCCAACAGTGATCTTCCACGAACCAGAAGCCATTGAGCTGTGCACAACAACTCCCCACATGAAGACCCGGGCTCACACTGGATGCAAGGTACTCGGGAGTATAAACTTAAAGAACGAGACTGCTGGGGAGGTGTCCCATGTATGTGTGAGAACTCTAAAGAGCTAAAAATAAGCAACATGGTCATTGTTGTTGTTCTGGAAACCCCATTAACTGCTACTATTACTATAAATTTTCTAAATCAAAAAAGTCATTGGGCATTTCTGACCAGAAATTTTGGTCTTCAGGAAAAATAGGTTTGGGTTGTGTGGCACAATGCAAATTGTGGAGGATTTCTCAGAGCCTGCAATGAACATCTGAAATGGCAAAACACTGCCATTTTTTCTGTAAGTGCTAGTGCTGACGTGGGAGATGAAGGGCCAAATGCTGTGTGTTTGCATTTAGCAATCTGTACTAACAGAGGTATATACCTACTGAAATAGAGTTGCAGCTTAAAACTCAAGGTTAGTTTGGTGGGTTTTTTGTGTTTGGTTTTTTTTTTTAAGAGAAGGGAAAAAGGGGCAGGGAGGAGACTTTAGATCTTGGTTTGGTTAAGCAACAAGGTGAATTTTCCCAGTTACATCAAAGCACAGCTTCTGAAAAAGCTCTTCTTTAAAGTTTAATGGCTTAAGAGCTTCAAATGTGTTCTTCTGTGGTAAGAAACCATATAAAAATAGCAAACAAATCTGCTCTGTTTGCTTTTTCTGTTGGAAGAGTTTTTCTTGGTCACAGAGCTCGCCTAGCCTTGCAGAGCCATGGGCAACCTTGTAGACTGAGCTGGGTACCAGTTTGGCCTGTGCTGCCAGTCAGGGTTTGGTAGCCAAGTCCCCTTCAGCCAGCCTGACTGTCTGTTGTAGGGACTATCTACCCACCCTTGAGGATCTTGGTGAAAATGGAGAGAACTGGGCTTCAGCTTCCACTGCTCTGTTAAGTGTCAGCTCTAGAAGAGCTGTTGCCTGATGCTACATGTACTGTATAAGGTCCAAAGTGCAATTAAATGTCCTAACCCCCTCCCCTGCCAGTGTGTATACACACACATGTGTGCACACATTCCTTCTTGTTGGAGGATCTGATGTGAGTGAGATGGGGTTGGAAGAAATTGCTTCCTGGTGTGTTTCCCTGCTTCTCTTGGCATACTGTGCGGACAGCACGGGCTGTGGGCATGCTGTGAAGGGCTTTGCTTGGGCACCTCCAGGTCTGGCACTTCCTCAGCAAAGTTTCTTCTTGGGAAGTGTAATTTTTGTTTGACTTTTTGCCTGTCACAGCAGCCAAGAAACAAGACCACTGCTGGATGTTGAAGTAGTGCTGCCCTGTGCTGACACAGAGGAATGTAGGGCAAATGCCCCTAATATGCTTTGTACAGTAGCTCCTAGTATCTGCTCTTCCACGGTGATGTCTTTTGCCCTGTATGTTGACTTCTAATGAATTTTTAGAGAATATTAGCTATCATAAAAATGGTTCACAAAGTATCTGGCTTTCACCCCTAGTGAGAAAGAGTTCAGACATAATAATGCTTTCTGAAATCAGTTTATCTCTGTGAATGTGTGTAGAATTTAAATGAACATTTTTCCTTAAGCTTCAGTCCTTCAACTGGAAAAGATGGATTGCAGAGAGATGTTGAACCCCTCAGTGAAGAGAATCTCATTCTATATTTAGACATCTCTTTTATTTATTCATTTATTTTTCTTGCAATGTAATGTAGTAGTGGTGACTAGGGAACATCGGCTGCCACAACGCTCCCCTTTTCCTACTTGCACTGTTTCTCCTTCTCTCCTTCCCACTGTAGCTAGTTCACCTCCTGCCAGTGCTGGAGTCTTAGGGCGGTGGTTTTGGGGTGGTGCCCAGCCCCTCTTCAGGTGATTCAGCAGTTGTGATTTCCAGTTGTGACTTCCAGTCATTGGGAAGATGATTCCACATATATGTTGTTCCTATGGCTAAGAAATCCTCTCCAGTCATTAACTGAAAGGCTCTAATTTTACCCAGTCTCTAGTCTCTCTAGTCACAATCTCTTTCTTTTTATCCTCTCTTTTTTTTCCAGCTAAATGTATTTTTCTCTCACAGGTCTTGTATCCTCCAGCTGTTTATAGGTAATTAGCCGCCTTCTCCTCTTTCCCCTCTGATTATTAGTTTCTTGCTGAGTGATACGATAATAGTGTTGCCATAACAAAACCAGTATTTTATAATATGAGTTTTTGTTCTGAGGGATCTGATCTATCACTGTTACTTCAGGTGTAAGAGGGGAGATGCTGTGGTGTCGCTGGTACCACCGAGCCTCTCCAGTTCTGGGATGTGGGCTTTTCAGGCAAGAGCACAGCATCCGGTTTTTACTTTCTTTTATGAGTCACACTCTTTTGATCCTTAATCGTTTTATTCCTCTTGACTGAAATCCCTCCAATTTTTCTATGTAATCCCATTAATGAGATAGCATCATTCTTCTGACAGAGGCTCCAGACATCTAATTTTATTGCACAGTTTTAACATAAGCCTCAGCTGGCACCATCTTGTTATGGGAGCTTGACACATGCAATTTGCTTTGCTGATCAGAGGTCTGGGCATTGGGTTTCTTATGCGATTGCTCTTTTCCTTGTCCTTTCATCTCAAGACAGGCTTGTCTTCTCTTTCATTTGGCGTTAGCTACTGAATCCTGAAGAAACAAAACTTTTCTGCTGAGATCCAATCTCATTCTGTAATTGAATGGGATGGTTTTAAGAATAGCAGAGAAATGTCTTGCTTAAAGTAATCTAGGATGAACCCCCACAAAATCTGGAAACTTAAATAATTGAACAAGTTCAGAGTGCTTGCCTTTCCTGCCCAATTCCAGATCTGATGCAACTTTGTTGCCATCATGTTTCCTAAAATATATTTTTTTACTTACAGAGGAAGGCTTAAGTCTCATTCCTCCTGTTACTGCGCATCTACACATGCCTGCTTGGGCTGGCTGTGCTGTCGCCGTTCCCACTCCTCTACACTCATGGGCATGATTTCACTAAACAGCAGAAACAGATAGTATTTGCATTGATTTGCAGCACAGAGCTTTAGGCGCACACGTTTCAGAGTTTGTGTTGCTGGTTGCTGAGAGAGACAGGGATTGACTCGGAGGCTGTAGTTCCCAAACGGCACCTTCTTGCCCCCCTTCCCCACCAGTCCTGTTTGCAACTGGGGAGTGACAGTCTTGCACCCTGGGGTTGGACTGTTGCGGCCCCACTTAGCAGACAGCCTAAAACAGAGCAGGATTTCTGGGTACAATAAAGCGCTTGGACTCTGTTTTTTTTCCTGGGGGATTGTTCGCTTTCATTTGAGCCATGGTGTACATCAGGTGAGAGGCAGGTCTCTGGCCCCAGAGGAATCACAGCTTCTTGTCCTCCTCCAGCTGAAACTGCTGGGGCAGGGCAGTGGGATGCAGTGTCCAGAGGGTTGTCATCTCTGGCAGCTGCCGTTGAGCACCCACGTGCATCCTGCCTCTTCCCTGCGATGGACGTGGTCTTTGTGAATGCTGGAGCACCAAGTGTTAAGGTCAGTAGCTGTTCCAAAGAATGAAAAAGCCCAACTGGCTTATTGTATACCTGTAAATGGTGAGCCTCTGCTTAAGCTAAACCACCTGTTGCTCGGGAAGGACAAAAAAGAATGAGAATAAGTCTTTTGTTCTTACTAGCTGGACCACACTTTTAATCACAGGTTCCTAACTTGCTTTTATTTAAATAGAGCATGTTTCTGTATACAGGCATGAGTGTGATTTAGATGCGTGTATATAAAAATGTGTCCATCCTTGTTCAGATCCTGAGGTTTTTTTATTAGACTATGGCTGTCCTACTTGTAGGTCTTTCATGTCAAATGTTGTGCAGTCCTGTGTTTCAGCTGGAAACCTCCTCTTCCCTTATCACGACGCTAAGTACCACCAGCTGGAAACTGAAAATCTGGAGTATCTCCAGAAAATAAGTTGCTCCTTACTCAGAAATGTGTGCTTTCTCTGTGCCTTTTAACAGATTTTATTTAAGTTCTGTGTGTTTTATTCTTCCTTAATGTCCTAATAGGCCTACACTGATTCTAATGTTTCTTGATTTCTGTCCCTTTGAGCTATGGTGGTGGCATGAAGGGAACTGCTTAAATGACTCTCTCTCTTTTGCTGTAGGTTTTCCAGGGACTGCTGCAGTAATGCAAAAGGACAGAGGTTAAAAATGCTGCCTGCAATTTTTGAAGTGGTATCATAGGTTTAACTTTTTTTTTTCCCCTTTCTATTGGAAGGCTCTTCAAAGTGAAGTCAGTGCTGAATAATCAGTAGCTCGTTGTTATCCACCAGAGTCAGGCAATCTTATTCCTCCAGTTCCTACCAGCAGACAAAATTTTCTCAACAGCCTGGGAGGCTGAGATGAGAGGAGCATAAACAGTGTAAACAATTGCGTTCTTAAGAGTATGCTTTTATTAAGTGGGAAAGCATATAGTAATGATGTGGCATTTGCAGGCATGATACTTATTGCTTGCCTGTTTTATTGAATTGAGTTGGTGAGATTATTAATTCAGGCTTTGTGGAAGGTATGATGCTGAAATTTCTGCGATGGCGTATCTTAGTTGAAGATTGATGAAAGTCTTGTTTAACAATTTGTATAAGTGGCGTTAAAGTGGTACTGGCATTTTGAAATCAAGTCTTGCACATATTGATAGAGATTTAAAAAATAGCCAAGGAGTAATATAAATAAATGGAGCTTAGTCTTTCAGAATAGCTTAATTGCTTCACTCAGGAAGCAAAAAGAAAATGGTGGTCGTACTAAACTTGCTGCAGGGTGGTGATTATGGTGGGGGTTATTTGGGGCCTGTATAGCGAGAAGGGGCCATGGCCACAGTTGGGCTTCTCTGGGACAGTGGTAGTGTCAGCAGTTAGGCACCGAGCTTGACTGTTGCAACTCTGGGACACACCTGATGTTGTTACACTTATGTCAACCTTTTAACTGGATTTGAGTTCATTTCTGGGAGAGCTGGGCAGTGCCTGTGCAATGCCAAGGGCCTTCCTCTGCGTTCCTGCAGCCTGCCCTCCCGTTGCAGCTCTGAGCCCTTTC